GGCACTGGTCAGACTGGGAATGTCCAGCCAGACAACACAGCAGTCACTCCCTCAAATCATTCCCAGGAGATCCACGAGCCCTGGAGCGAAGCCACCACACATTCCAGAGGAGCCTTCACAACTTCCAAATTCCCTTGTGTCCATGCACTGGCAACCCCTGGAGACACCTCCAGAGGATGTTTCTGCCCGAGGGGATGGATCTTCTCCAGGTGGACACGAAGCCAGAGCAGCTCCCTGGGGCTTTGGAGGAGATATTCCATATTTGTACACATTTATTAGAGATTTGGGGAGAATCCTTCATAGGAGGGTTGTCCTGCCCTAAAAGGCTGCCCCAGGGCAGGGGCAGAGCCCCCATCCCAGAAAGTGTCCAAGAAATGTGTGGATGTGGCACGGTCAGGGGTGACCTTGCCGGCACTAGGCTGGACTTGATGATCTCTGAGGGCTTCTCCAACCTGAACAATTCCATGATTCCTGGCTCAGGCTGTGTCACCTGCTCTGAGGAGCACCAAGACTGGCTGGATTAGGAGTTTTTCCCATAAAACCTTCACCCTCTTGCCTGTTTTCCTCCCACAGGGAATGGGAATTCTGCCCAAAATGCCAGCAAGGATCTCTTCCCTGACAGCAGTCCCTTCACTGAGCTTTTCCCAGCACCATCTCACACAGATCCATGGAATGGTTTGGGTGGGAAGGGACATTAAAGGGACATTAAAGCCCATCAAGTGCCACCCCTGCCATGGGCAGGGACACCTCTCACTCTCCCATGTTGCTCCAAGCCCTGTCCAACCTGGCCTGGGCACTGCCAGGGAACCAGGGACAGCCACAGCTGCTCTGGGAAATCCATCCAGGGCCTCCCCACCCTCACAGTCAGGAATTCCCCCTCATCCTGACACTCTAGGCCATTGTCCAAAGTCCCTCTCCAGCTCTTCTGGAGCCCCTTCAGGCCCTGGAAGGGGCTCTGAGCTCTCCCTGGAGTGAGGTGAGCACCCCCAGCTCTCCCAGCCTGGCTCCAGAGGGGCTCCAGCCCCTGAACCCAAGCTGGGAGTGCCTGGAGCAGGGGTGTCCAGCAGGGATGTTCCCAGAGTTAATGGAGATGTGGAGACAGAGCTGAGCCATCGCAGGGCTGGCAGGTTTGGGAGCCTCCCTGTTCCCTCCCTGCTGCCTCTGTTTGATCCATGGAGGATCCCAGGAGTTGCTTTGATGTGTCAGCCTGGCAGCAGGGCCTGTTCCAGCACGACTGCTCCCAGATTCCTGCGGGAACAAAGCTGCACCTCAGCAGCTTCCAGAGGCTGGGACTGGCCCCGGGGCAGAGCAGGGACACCAAGTGACACAGAGAGACCCCCTCAGCATCAGCTCCCCTGTCCTTCCCAGGAGTTACAACCCAACAGTCCAGCAGAATGGGTTATTCTGGGATCCTGGTGCATCCCACCCCACAGGGATGCCCCCTCACAGGGCTGGGTCTGATCCCTGACCCACCACATGACAGGTTTGATCAATTATCCAGTGTGTGTCCTGCCATGGAGACGTGGTTCAGATCCCTCCTGAGCCTCCCTGCTCCACAGCAGGGTCCCCACAGGAGTTTAGGCAGCTCTGGCCTCAGAACTTTCTCACTCCCAATAAAGTGGCTCCGTGGCTCCAGGGAGGATCCAAGGACGGAGCAGCTTTGTTAAACATCAGGATGAAATTCCAGGGGGCTGATAAGAAGTGTTTTATGATCCTGATTGAACTGGGATTGTCAGGTCAGAAGAGATAAGGTCTGAGAGCATTTTATATTTCCTGGAAGCAGATCCCCACCCTGCATCACGACTCCAGCCCCTTCCAGTGGGCCCAGCTCCAGGAGAACAAGGATGCTCCAAATTAACTCATTCCAAAGAACTTGAGCCTGAGCTAAGAAATGGTGGCAAAGATTATGTCCACAATGATCCAAGGGACTTCTGTGCCAAGGAGGAAAACAAACCTGCCTCAGTTTGTTCCATAAGTGAATAAAATGGGAAACCTGAGGTGTTGAAACAAAATCCCAGAGAGGGATGAAGGAGCTCAATGAGAAGCTTCCACAATGGGCCATCTTCTCCACCAGGACCAGCGAGGATAAAGCTGTGGGGACTCCAAGGAACCCTTCCCACCTGGAATTTAAACCCAAGGATTCAGGACCAAGGCACTTCCATTTCCAGCACTGACAGCCCGAGGAAGGGAACAGCCAAACTCTCCCTGTTTGTAACCCAGTGGAGCAGGACCTGCCTGCAGCACGTCAGGGAATCCTGGAATGGTTTGGGTGGGAAGGGACCTTAAAATCCATCCCATCCCAGCCCCTGCCATGGGCAGGGACACCTCCCACTGTTCCACGCTGCTTCCAGCCCCATCCAAGCTGGCCTTGGACACTTCCAGGGATGGGGCAGCCACGGCTGCTCTGGACAAATGTCCAGAGTGACCCCAGCCTCACCCTTGGATTTGTGGTTGGTTTTCCCACCAAGATCCCACCAGGGCTCTGCTCCCTCCCCAGTTCACCTCCCCACTCCAACCTCTGCCCCAGAACTGGCGACACTGGGAGGGAAAAGCCAGACTCCCAGACTGTGTTGTTTGGGTTGGGACTGCTCTTTTCCCAGCTCTCCAGAATCAGATTCCCAGATGTCCTCTCTGGGACACCTCTCCCTTTTCTCCTGTAATTCCAAAGTGACAGGAGGAACAAGAAGGAACCTGCCCTGAGCTGAGCCAAGGAAGTCCAAACCTCTGCCCTGGGACCTGCAGGAACAAGTTCCTGGGCCCAGGAAGCTGCTGCCAACTCCCAGCTCCTGAGGTGGGTCCCTCCACTCCTGGGCTGCTTGGATTAAACTGGAAATTGAATTTATCCATTTTTTGCCATGTCCTCAGTTAGAAATCAAGGGATGGCCTGGGTGGAAAGGGACATTAAAGCCCACCCAGTCCCAGGGTGGGCTTTAATGTCTCCAGGGACACCTTTCACTATCCCAAGGTGCCCCAAGCCCTGTCCAGCTTGGCCTTGAACATTTCCCAGGATAGGGCAGCCATGATTTAACATTGACAGAATTATCCTCCATTTCCCCAGCCAGGAATTCCCAGGGGTGGGAACTGTCCATCCCTCAGCATCAAAGCCAAACACAGCTGAACAAACTCTGAGAAAGCCTTTTATGGATATGATCCAGCCCTGGTTTGAGGAAATGCAATTCTATTTGCTAAAGTCCAACCCAATTCTAGGAAGGGGAGCTCGCAGAAACTTCTAAATGTGGTAAAATGGGGAAGTAGAGAATGAAAACCTGAATGAACTCTGGAAGAGGGACTGCTGGGGGGACTCATCACTTCCAGGGCCAGGGGTGGGGGAATGGGAAGGAATTACAGCTGAGCTGAGGAGTCTGAAGAATTCCTTCTGCTCCAAGGGCTCAGCAAAAGCAGCCATGGAAATGGCACAATGACCACAGAATCATGGAATGGCCTGGGTTGGAAAAGCCCCCTGAGACCATGGAGTCCATCCATGCCCCAGCACAGCCAAGGCCACCCCTGACCATGTCCCCAAGTGCCACTTCCACACAGCTGAGATCCCTCCTCAGCTGGTGACAGAGGAGGGGTGGGGACTGCCTCTCCAGCTGTGTCAGGAAGTTCTGGATGTGGAAGGGAGCAGCTCCGGGACATCTGGTGCTCTCAGGTTGTTTCCTCTGGCCACTCTCCAGTTCCTGCCTGGGCCCAGAGTTCCACTCTCCATTGTTCCCTGGGAATGTGTCCTTTGTGCTCACTCAGCACGGGAATCTGGGAGACAGCAAAGTGTCCCTTAGAGGAAGGGACATCGAGTGTCACAGGAGCGACAGTAAAGAGAAATCCAAAACAAAAATAAAAAAGGATCTCATCGATTCCAACCCAATTCCACTTCCTCCAAGGGCTGGAAGCACCTGCAGAACCATCTGGAAAGTGGAAGCTCCAACATCTGAATTTTGATGCTTCAGCTCCCCTGCCTCAATTCTTCCATGCAAGGAAGGGGAGAGTGACCTCCCCACAGCAGGAGGGAGGCTTAATGAGTCCCAGCACTTGGCAGGGGACTAATTAATCCCTGCAGGGATTACTGGGAACAGGGCACAGCTCTGAGCCCAGGCTCCAGCTCAGCTCCTCAGGTTCTCCATCCCAAAAGCGCTGTGCAATCACACAGCCAAGATTCCCCATCAGGGAATCAAACCCACTCTGGGGAGGGAAAAACAGAGGCAAACTGGGTTAGAGGCCAGGAACAATCCCAAAGCTCAGAGCTCGGGAACAATCCCAAAGCTCAGGAACAATCCCAAAGCTTGGGAACAATCCCAAAGCTCAGAGCTCAAGAACAACTCCAAAGCTCAGAAACAATCCCAAAGCTTGGAGCTTGGGAACAATCCCAAAGCTTGGAGCTCAGGAACAAATCCCAAAGCTCAGAACCCAGGAACAATCCCAAAGCTCGGGAACAATCCCAAAGCTCAGAGCTCAGGAACAATCCCAAAGCTCAGCCAGATGCTCCAGGGGAGCTGTGCACTCCCAGGGAAGCCCCTGCTCCCTCAGCAGCAGCAGCCACCACTGGCAGGCCTATCCTGGGATCAGGGACATCCCTCTCCTGCCCTGCTCCAGGTGTCCTGAATCCTACCAGGGTGACCAAGCCCAGGGGTCCTTCAAGGAAACTGAGGCAGGTTGTCCAGAGCAGCTGGGGCTGTCCCTGGATCCGTGGAAGTGTCCAGGCTGGATGGGGCTTGGAGCAGCCTGGCACAGTGGGAGGTGTCCCTGCCCATGGCAGGGGTGGGATGGAATATTAGGAGTTCCTTCCCAGCCAAAATCTTCCCCAAGTCCAGGACCTCCACCTCCCCATGACCATTCCTTCTCCATGAGGAATCACCACAGAGCTTTGCTCCTGTCCAAGGAGCAGATGTGGGTTTAACCCCCAGCTGGAATTTCCCTCTCTCCCACCCTCAGGAAAACTGGGAACACATTTTAGTGATATGGGAAATGCAGAGTGTTCAAAATAGAATTCTCCAGATCCTTACTGCAGCTGGGATCCATGGGATCTCCTCCAGGCTCTGCCATTGCTGGGTCCCAGAGCTGCTCCCACCTCTCCAGTCCCACACCTTCCTGGACAGCAGGAGCACGGAGCTGAAAGGAAAATGAAAGTGATCTTTCCTCCTCTTTGCTGAAGGACTGACTCCATGCTGAGCTCTGCAGTATCCCAGGATCACAAAACCATGGAATTGTTCAGGCTGGAAAAGCCCTCAGAGATGATTGAGTCTGACCATCAACACAGCACCACCTTGGTCATCCCTGACCATGTCCCCAAGTGCCACATCCACAGTTTTCTTGCACACTCCCTGGGATGGGGACTCCCCACTGCCCTGGGCAGCCCCTTCCAGTGCTTTACAACCCTTTCCATGAGGGAATTTTCTCAATATGCAGCCCAAACTTCCCCTGGTGCAACTTGAGGTTGTTTTTCCCTTGTTCCCTGGTAGCAGATCCCAAATCCCCCCTGGCTCCACCAGGAGAGGGAGAGGGTCCCCCCTAAGCCTCCTTTTCTCCAGGCTGAGCACAGGGACTTGTTTTAACCATTCTGAGCTGTATTTGTGGTAAAACCCAAAGGATTTGGCTGTGCCAAAGTCAAGCAGAGGGAATTCTGGAGCTGGGCCACTCCTGAGCCATATCAGCAATTCCAAAGTCCAGGAATGAGAGATAAGGAGCCATTGCAGTTACAGACACACCAGGCATGGACAGCATGGAAAAGCTGGGAAAATAGGAACTATCAACTCCAACCCACACTCCTCCCTCAAACAGCAGCCCAGGAGGACTCCCCAGGCACATCCTGGGGGGATTCCCAATAAATAAGGAACATGAACCAGGGTCTGTCTGAAGGAAAAGATCCTTCCAGCCAGGTGCAGGGACAGCAATTTGGGAGGCACCTTCCTAGCAACTCTTCCTAGAATTTTTCACAGGGAAGCATGAAAATCCCCAAAGGAAAAAGAAAGGCAAAAACTCTTTCCCCCTTTAACTGGGAGCAGGGATGGGGCTGGGCTTAGTTCAGAAACATTTCAAAGGTGAAAGAAAACAGCACCAAATATTGACACAAGGGAAGGGAAACATTCCATGGGGGAAGGGTGTGGGATGCATGATCCTCCAGTGCCCCCAGCAGCACAGCTGGGAAAGAGCAGCAGGAGCAAAGGGAGGAAAACACACCTTGAGTGACAGCCCTGGAGTCAGCAGAGCTTCCCCAGAGCTCCTGGAATGTCAGGGAGCTGTTCAGTTCCCAAAGGGATTCACGTGCTGGGGGAGCTGCAGGATCCCTGGGGAAGTTGCATTTATGGGAAGGGCCTCAATGGTTTCCTGCAGCCCTGCTCAGCATCCTGAAACACCTGGGATCATGGAATGGTTTGGGTGGGAAGGAATCTTAAAATCCATCCCAACGTCAGGGACACATTCCACTGTCCCAGGCTGCTCCAACCTGGCCTTGGGCACTGCCAGGGATCCAGGGGCAACCACAGATGCTCTGGGAAATTCATTCCAGGGCTTCCCCACCCTCCCAGAGGGGAATTCCTTCCCAATATCCCATCTATCCCTGCCCTCTAGCACTGGGAGCCATTCCCTGCGTCCTGTCCCTCCATTCCTTCTCCCAAGCCTCTCTCCAGCTCTCCTGGAGCCCCTTCAGGCACCAGATGGGGCTCCAAGCTCTTCCCTTCCCTTCCCTTCCCTTCCCTTCCCTTCCCTTCCCTTCCCTTCCCTTCCCTTCCCTTCCCTTCCCCTGACAGATCCACACATTTCCTTTCCCCCCTACACTCTCCCTGCAGGAGGAAACAAGGAATTCCCAGTAAGGACAAGGACAAATCCATCCAGGTTTTCCCCTGTCCCTGCTCACCTGGGCAGGAGCAGCGACACACGAGCACCACCTCCTGGAGGTGACACCTCCTGTCCCTCGGGGATGGAGCTCACCTGGAACAAGGCTGAGCTTCCCTCACTCCCATTGCAGCAAGGAAAAGTGGAAGTACAACAGAATTACCTGCTCAGTTCCCTGGCACCCCTGAGGTGCTGAAAGGAATGGGAATAAAAGTGGGATTAAAAACCCCAACACGGAATTTAGGATAAAATTCAGTGATTTTTATTCCAAGGATATCATTCCCAAAAGCACTCACCGTTAGGGATGAACCTGTCCTGGGAGAGTTCAGCCTGGGCTGCTGGGTCCAGGCAGGGGATTGTCCTGCAGGTGCCTCACCCCAGTCCTGGGGGAGTTTTGGGTGGATTTTGGGAAAGGGCTCCTCATCCAGAGGATGCTGGGCACTGGAACAACTCCCCAGGGAATGGTGACAGCCCCAAGAAGCCAGAGCTCAGGGTGCTGGGATTTTGGTATCAGGGGGATTTTTGGGTTGTCCTGGGCCAGGAGTTGGAGTTGGTCCCTTCCAACTCAGGGTACTCCATGACTCTGTGATCCTTGTGGGTACTTTTCAAGTCTGATTATTCCATAATTCTGGAGGTCAGGGAATGCTTGGGCAACACTCTCAGGCAGTGGGTGGGATTTTGGGATGTCCTGTGTGGGGCCAGGAGCTGGAGTTGATGACCCGGGTGGGTCCCTTCCAACTCTGGATGTTCCATGACTCTCAGATCCTCACAGGTCCCTTTCAGCTCTGGGATATTCCATGATTCTGGAGGTCTGGGAATGTCTGGACAACTTGGGCAACAGGATTTTGGGGTTAATGGGATTTTTTTGGAATGTCTTGTGCAGGGCCAGGAGCTGGACTGGAGAATCCTTGTGAGGCCCTTTCAATTCTCCCAAAAGCACTCACCATTAGGGATAAACCCCTGTACCAGGAGAATTCAGCCTGGAGTTTTGGATGTCTTGTGCAGGGCCAGGAGCTGGACTGGAGGATCCTTGTGAGGCTGTTCCAATCAGGACATTCTACATTCCCTCGGGCATGTTTCCTGGTATTCCAGAACAGCAGCACTGTCCCAGCCAGGGTGGGTTTCAGGTGGGATCAAACCTTTGCTGGGCCAGGTGAGGCCAAACCTGGATCCAAGGCAGGCCTCTGAGGGACTGCTATTCCAGGGATTATTCTTGATACACATGGACAGCACATGTAGGAACTTGGACTCCAGGAGCACTTCCTTGAACAACCTCCCACCCCGCAAAACTGGTTAAAAACAATCAGTCACAGACATTCCTTGCCCTGGATTCCCACAGGAAGCCAAGGCCCGGTCCTAGCAGGGATTCAGGAATTCCCAGCTCCGCCTCCTCGCCCGTGAATCCACGGCAGCGCGAGGCCGCCCCTCAGCCGGAGCCCTCGGGACGAGCAGCGGTGGATTTGAAGAGCAGCAGGCTCCTGTCCCAGGAGGTGCTCCCGAAGGAGCAGACCAGCTCCATGGCACACTCCTGGGTCAGGATGCGGGTGATGCTCTCGGCCATGTCCCCGTTGATCCGCAGCGAGCGGAAGTGCTCAAAGTCGTCGCGGCCCAGCCTGCGGAGCCGGCGCGCGGCCGCCCGGTAGCACCTCCAGGGCTGGGGCTCCACCAGCAGGAAGGTGCACAGCGAGGCCAGCAGGGCCAGGAACTCCAGCAGGCCCCTGTCGCCGTGGTTCAGGTGGATCCACATGGTCACGGACATGCAGAAGCCGATGTCGAAGGAGGAGCGGCCGAAGCGCTCCAGGTAGGAGCTCAGGAAGGGCTCCCTGGCCCCCGAGTCCATGATGTCCAGGCTGGCGAAGGAGATGGAAGCAGGGAAGGGGCTGCTCTGCTGGGCCCTCCGGATCAGCTCGGGATCGATGTCACAGCACAGCAGCTTCAGCTCCTTCCCGGCCCCTGGCGGCTCCGGGCTGGAACTGCTGTCCTGGAGCCCCAGCAGGTGCTGGTACAGAGCCACGCTGAGCTCCTGCAGGAGGAAAACAGGGATTCAGGGAGAGCTCCCACAGCTTCCTCTCGTGGCTGTCCAAAGGAAAATCTAACCAAGATCAGCAAAAGATCTGTCCTGGGAGCCCTGAGCACCTGGAGTGGATCCCCCATGGGGCAGCAGCTCTGTGCCCACAGAGAGAGGCACAGCTTTCCCAGGCATGGTTCTGGGGAAGGCTGTGAGAAGATCAGAGAAAAGAATGAGAAACAATTCCTATCTTCACTTGCTGCACCCGGTGTTGTGAACATGTGGAGATTTGTTTATCAAAGGGTGGTTTGTTAATTAACCAATGGTGATGGTGTTTTAATTAGAGGACCAATTAGGTCCCCCTGTAGCAAACCAGGGTGTAAAAAAGCAATGGGTTTCTTAATAAAGAAACGGCTCAACCTTCTGTGAGTGCGTGGAGTCTGTGTAACTTATTTCAGTTATTATTCAACCTTCTGTGAGTGCGTGGAGTCTGTGTAACTTATTTCAGTTATTATTACATGGGATCCCCCTGCGCTGACACCCCCACAGCGAGGGCCTGCTAAAAATCCAGGGAATCATGGAATGCTCTGGGCTGGAGGAACTCAGCTCATCCACCCCTGCCATGGGACACCTTCCACAAGAGCAGGGCCTCCAAGCCCCTGGAATGTCCAGGTCCCCAGCCTGGAATCTCTTTCCACAGTGCACACTGGTGGAAAGTGAATTAATCCTTAATTAAAGGAGATCCCATGGAGCTCCTGGAGCCACCGGCACAGGACAGGCTGGGAAGGTCCTCTGGTGGTGACAGGTGCCTCTCACTGACCTGCTCCACCGGCTCACCTGGAATGGGATCTGGAATTGTCTCTTTGGTAATGCCTCAGGGGAATTCCAAACCCCAGGAACAGCAGCAGTGTCCCGGCCAGGGTGGGTTTCAGGGGGGATCAATAATTCACCTTTGCTGGGTCAGGTGAGGCCACACCTGGATCCAGGGCAGGCCTCTGAGGGACTGGAATGTGTCTGGAGCTGGGAAAGGACTGGAGCACCAGTCTGAGCTGGAAATCCCTGAGGGAGCTGGGGGTCTCACGTGGGACCTCCTCACTCTCCAAACTGGACAGGAGGTGGAGCAGCAGGGGTCAGGATCTGCTCCCAGGAACAGAATGAGAGGAAGCAGATCCCAGGGGAGGTTTAGGTTCAATTTTAGGAAAACTCCTCATGGAAAGGGCTGTCCAGGGCAGGGGAGGAGTCCCCATTCCCAGAGGGAATTAACAGACCCAGGACAATGTTTCTGCCCAGTCTGCCCCACTCCTCCCAGTGCCCCATGGAGGTGACTGTCCCACTGCTCCCAGTCCTCCCTCCCACGCTGGGCACTGCCTGCCCCAGTGCTGCCCATCTCTCCCAGTGCCCCCAGCACGCCCCACCAGTGCCTCCCTCGGCTGCTCCATCTCCCCCAGGCCCCTGCCTTTCCCTGCATTCCCAGTTTGTCCCACTGCCCTCCTCTGTTCCCCACCAGCGTTCCCAGTCTGCACCACCCCACGCCAGTGCCTCATCCCGAGCCTTTTCCATGGGCTGGATTGTCCTGAGTGCCCCCCAGTCTGTCCCAGCGCCAACTGCCCCCAGCAGTGCCTCCCCAGTGTGCCCCAGTACCCCCAGTACCAGGGCACTGCCAGTGTCCCCAGTGTCCCCACCAGTGCCTCACAGTATTCCCAGTACCCCACACCAGTCTGCACCAGCGTCACCCAGGACCTCACGCCAGTACTTCCCAGTCTGTCCCAGTGCCCCCAACACCCCAAACTGGTGCCTCCCCAGTCGCCCCCACACCCCCACAAAGGTGCCCCAAACCCGCCTGCGTGTGGCCCCCTCACCCCGGAGTTGCAGCCCACATCGAGCCCGAGGAGCGGGCGGGTGGCCGCGGGAAAGAGGCTGCGCAGGAGCCCTTGGGGCAGGAGGCTGATGCGCCCCTCGGGCGGGTGGAACCGGGAATAATTCGGGAAGTTGCCGTAGGGAGCCGCGCCGGGCTCGGAGCCGCGGCTATCGCGGCTGATGGGCGCCGCCATCTTGGCACTGCTCCCCGCGCCGGGCGGGAACCGCAACTGGAGAGAAACGTTCCGGGGCAGAAATGAACCGCAACTGGGGAGCAACGTTCCGGGGCAGAAATGTCCGGAGGAGGGACAGGGACAAGGGACAGGGACAAGGGACACCACCACCAGGGCACCCACTTGGGGGTGAAAAGAAGAGATTTTGTGTAAAGAATCCTGTCTGGGCCCTGCCGAGCTGCAGAGGGACGGCGCCGACCACCCGTGTGTCTCCTTGGAACGCTCCCCCCACGTTGCCATGGCGACGCCGCGGCCCCAGAGGGTCTGAGGCCTTGGCGGGGTTCGGGCGTTTAAATTACACGAACCTGTTAATTAAGTAATATAAACAAAATATTTTGTCGTATAAAACATATGAATTTTGTTCAAATAAATAGCGTGTAAATGCTGCGTATATCAACGCTATTGAAAGCATATTTGAATAATATAGACCGATGTTATAAAATAAATACTGTATAAATGTTATACACATCAATGATAAATAAAAGTTGTTTAAATCATAATTAAACACATGATGGTGCTGGGGGTGCCCAGGACCCCACGGGCTGCAGCTGAGAGAGGTTTAAAAGCAGAAGAAAATGAAAGTTCTCTGTTAAAGGGGGGTTTAAGGGAGAGGAGGTGCAGGTTAAAACCAAGCCTGGCGCAGGTGTAGGGTTAAGCTGGCACAACAAGCTGCGTTTCATGTGCTGCTGGTTTCAAGCACAGCGTGGAGAGCAGAGGGCGCCTGGAGCTCACAAATGCAGGTGAAAGGCTCTGGCTCCTTGCATCTTCTGAGTTTTCATGGGATCACAGAATGGTTTGGGTGGGGAGGGACCTTAACATCCATCCCATCGATCCATCCCATCCCACCCCATCCCACAGGACCCCCGGGCACAAAAGAAAGGCAGAAGATAGTGCAAAAATAAATACAATTTCCCCCCTTCTCCAGGCAATGGAATTCAGGGGTTTGAAGACTCCTCTGACTCTCTCTGGCTGGATTTAGGAGCCCCAAATTCCTGTTTTCAACAGGCATGGGAAGCAGCTCCATCCCTTCCTCCTTCCAGCATCCCTCACACCCTGACCAATCTTCCCCCTTATCCTGCATCCCTCCATCCTTCCTTTGATGGTTTCAGTCTGATTAATCAAATTTTTTGCCTGAGCATCCAAAAGCCCAGTGCTGAAATTTGATGGAATCATCAGCCTTTCATCATGTCTGTGGTAGTTTCAGGGAACGCTGATGATGCCTCATCCTGCTCTTGGACACCTCATTATTTGTGTGAGAATGTTCCACTTCAGTCTTTTTTTTCTGCAGAAAATGCAGGAAAATCCCTCCTGGCTGCTCAGCATCACTTCCCAGGAACCAAATTGCCCACATTTTGGTTTGACTCCTTCCCAAAAGCACAGACTGCTTTTGGGGAGGATCCAATCCCTGCTGCATTGGGATTTCTGTCCTGGACAGCCATCCCTTCAGAGCTGAGGGACTGAGATGGGAATTCACCCCTCCCAGCGCAGGCTCTCATTTTGGGTGTTGAATTGTCCGTGGAGGAATTTTTTCTCTTGGGAAAGCTCCACCTGCTCTCCAGCACGGCAGAAAATTCCCTTGGAGCTGGAGCCCTCCCACGACTTATCCCCACTCATTGAATTTTGAATCCTGTGGCCATATAAACTGAGTGGGAAAGGGAGCAAATCCCTCATTCCAGGAGCCCTTTGGCCCTCAGTTCTCAGCTACTCCGCAGCCATGACACCTGTTCCAGATCCATGTGCTTTTATTGCTCTGTGTGGGATGTTTTCCTTACTCATAACCGGGGAAGAGGTGACTCGGGCTCCGTTAAACCTCTGGGCCATGCCAGGATCTTGTTTACATCTGAAGGGATGAAGCAGCACCTGCACAACCAGAGCAGGAACAGGCACAGGAACAGTTTTGCAACCATTTATTAGCAATAGTCAGAGAAGATACAAAATTCTATTTACAGTGAAATCATAGGAACAACAGCTCTAAAGGATTGGGTTTGGAGCTGGATGAGGACTTGGGGCAGAGGACACAGGAGGAGGGGGAGCAGCCCTCCACATCCCACCCCAAATCCTGCATTCCTCAGCCTCCTGAGGAGCTGCACCTCCCCGAGCAGGACAGTGCTCAGCATCCATCAGGGCTGGCTGGGGTGGCATCAGTGTGGAAAAGGGAGCAGGACACGTGCAAGGCACACAGGAGGGCAGCAAGTCCCCCCCAGCCAGGTGCCTGGAGGGGGGTCATGCCAGGTGTTCCCAACAGGAGCAGAAAAGCCAGGATATATCAGCAGAAAGCCAGGATGCGGCAGCAGCAAAGCCAGGATGCAGCAGCAGCAAAGTTACTCCACACCAGAAGGAAAAAGAACAATTCCAGAGGGGGCTGCAGGTCCCTGTGCTCCTCCCCAGCTCCCAGCAGGGCATTTTGGAGGAGTTTTGGGACTATTTCAGAGCCAGAGCTCATCATGGAGCTCCACACTCCTCCCTCCAAGCCAGGAAAGCACAAATCCCTACAGGAAATAACTGTGAGCAAGGAACTGCCCAGCCAGTCTACTGAGGGCCAGGAAATTCCCTCTTGAAACTCTTAACTCCATCCACTTTTAGGGTGGTCCCGTGCAATTCCCAGTTCTGCCTGCTCAGCAATCCAAGGGTTTGGTTCTCCTCAGCAGGAACCAGCACGGCATGAACTTCCTGCTGGCTTCACCTCGTGCTGTCCTTCAACCCTACCAAGAATTGGGTTTTGGTTGGGGTTTTTTTTCTGTCTGACTGGGGTTTTTTGGCCTGGTTGGGGTTTTTGTCCAGTCAGATTTTTTGGTCTGGTTATGGGTTTTTTGTCTGGTTGCATTTTTTTGTGTCTGACTGAGGTTTTTTGGTCTGGTTGGGGTTTTTTGGTCTAGTTGGGTTGGGTTTTTTTTTTTTTTGGGATGTTTTAGGAAGGAAGACAAGGGGAAGGCATCACTCCTGCTCATCGCTGCAGCTGTGGAGGGGCCGGAGCGTTTCCATTCCCTGCACAGTGACTTTCCCTGGACACGTGTGGCAGGAGGACAGGACATGTGCGGGGTAAAACCCAGGGCAGAAGGAGCAGGAACGTTCCAGCGTTCTGGCAGAGTCTCTCTGCAGCAGGAATTGCTGGAGGCAGCTCCCTGACGCACTCGCCGGCATTCCCAGCGAGATGGGAGATACCAGGTCCTATCTGCAGGAGGGATCACTCTTGGAATGAGAGCAAAAGGCCCCTTATCTCCCCGGGGAGCTTTACAGCCCCAGATCAGCCAGCTGAGCCCCAAACAGGGAATGTGAGCGGCCACGGTGGAAAGTTACCCGAGCACATCCAGAGCCCGCGCTGACATTCCCGTTTGGGAGAGGAGAAATGGAAAACAGCCAGGGAGAGGGAACACTGCTGCTCCAATGGCCTCAGCCCCTGGAAAGAACCCCTTAGGAATGCTCAGTTGGAGCAACCAAGAGAGTTCTGTGGGGGTGTCAGAGCCTCAGGGTGGGTCACAGGATCCCAGCCCATTTCCCACATGGAATGGCATTTCCCAGCATGGAAACCCAGCCTCCTCCATCTCTTCTCTGCCATTTCTTGGCAATATTCCTTCCCTGGGATCCCAACCCCTCCATGAGGAACCACACTCCAGAGAGAACCAGCACACTCCCCTGGGTGGGACCCATGGATCTGGGAAGGGAAGGGAAGGGAAGGGAAGGGAAGGGAAGGGAAGGGAAGGGAAGGACATTCAGCCGGATGCAAGGGATCCAGGGGAATTTTTCCTGCAGTGGCACCAGGGATGGCCTCAGAGAGCTGCACGTCCTGAACAAACAGGTTCCCTATGCCTGGAGCACTGAAATCCAGCTACGTGATCCCACACTCCACGTTTCCAACAGCAGGAGTCACCAGGAATAGCACAGAGGCCACCAAGCTCCAATGGATTGTGGGAAACAGCACAATGCAAGGATTCCCCAAGGCTTTTCCCTTTTCCCTAACCAAATTCCCTGCTCTGCTGCCCTCACTGTTGTTTTGTCACAGCACTTTCACCCCATGATGGGCAGCACTCAGAGGGCACCTCCAGCAGCCCCTGGGGCCAGGAAGGTCCCGGTCTCCTGCCCCAGCCTCTGGACTGGTTTGGGCTGGGCAGGACTGGGGGAAGCAGAAGAGACACGAACTGAAGCCCTGCTTTGCTCTCTGGGTCACAAAGGCCTGGCAGCAAATGTACAAAGCTGCAGGAGGGGCCTGGGGCTCCTCAGTGCGTTGGATGGACCAGAAAGGGAGGGACTGGGTCAGGTTGGAGGGTTTGAACCCTTTCACCTCTGCTTTTCAATTGAACCCCTCACATTTGCCAGCACAGGGAGCATCCTGCCCTGCTGCCCTCACTCCTGGCTGGAGCCAAAGAACTGCAGGAAGAAGGAGAAGATGTAGATGATGTCCAGGTAGATGTTGAGGGCTCCAAAGATGTATTCCTCGGGGCTCAGCGAGTACCGGCGGTTCCCCATCAGCATCTGCGTGTCCAGGGCCAGGAACTGGAAGGGAAAGGAGGAAACCCTGGGACAGTGACAGGGAGGTTTGGCCCAGGGAGGCAAGAAGGGCTCTAATGACAGGAGAAGTCCCTGGATCAGGGTGCAGCCCCTTTTTATGTGCTGTAGCCACAATTTAAGAGCTCAGAACAAGGCACTGAATGAGCTGTAACTTTCTCCTTCCCTCATTTCCCTCCTGACAATCAAACCCCAAGTGCAGCTCCCACTCCAGGCCCTCTTCCCTCAGGCTTCCTCCATCCCAAGGCCAGCTCTGGAGCCACTCTCCCTCCTCTTTCTCCCCCAGAGCCCATAACTTGTTATTCCCACACTTCCCTCGGGTGGGAAACACCTGCCAGGGAACGAGGTGGTCACAGGGTGACCTGGCCCCAACAGGATACAGAGCAACACCACCAGAAATCCCAGATGTGACCCAAATCCACCATTCTCTCCTCCCTCCCTTTCCTCCTTCTGCCATCCTGCTGTCCCTCATGGCTCCAGAGTTCCCCAGGGCTGCACCACCCTCCAGAGATGCTGTTTTATCCCCCCAGAACAAATCCCAGCCGAGCTGCCCTGGCAGGGCCAGGCCGAGGCTCTGACTGATGTTTATGGGATAATTATCAGATGTTGAAGCCTCCTTGTATTTTACAGAGGGATCTTGAGCCACGAATCAGCGCTGAGCTCCCTGCGCTCCCTTGGAGTGACTTTTATGGGTGATAAAGGCAATTGCTCAACTGCTCCGATTCCCAACATGCCCAATGGGCACCGCCTCGGAGCCCAGGGCAGCCCCGGGCTGAGCCCCGGCCCCGGGGGCACCGGGCACCTCCCCTGGCATCTGCCCCGGCCGGGTCCCGGTGCAGCACCGCCGGGACGTGCTCGGGAACGGACCCCGGCAGCAAGCCAAGCCTTTTTTTGGAGGAGCTGCCCAGCTCCGGGGCTTTTCCCGCCTGTCCTAATGCCTCTTAATCCCCAATCTCAGCCTTCCCTGTTTTTCTGCACCTCTGTGAGCCAAGCTCATCCCAAACCTTGGCTCGCTCTCCCCCAACCAGCCCCGACTCGACCGTGCAGCCTCATCCCTGGATCCCAGCGCTCCCGGGGCCGTGCCGAGCTCAGCTCTGCCTGCTCCACTCCAGAGGCACTTCTGGCCTGTCCCCACGATCCCTGCGGAGCAATCCAGCCGGGATTGCTCACCCCACACGGCTTGGCACTCACTCCATGCCCTGCGCGGGCACCGGCACGTCTGCGGCAGCTCCCGCCGGGATCGCTGCTCCGGGGCTGCCCCGAGCTCTGCAACCCCTGCCCGGCTCCCTGCGAGGCTCCAACCCCTGCCCGGCTGCTCCATCCCCTGCCCGGCTCTCTGCCATGCTCCATCCCCTTCCCGGCTCCCTGCGAGGCTCCATCCCCTTCCCGGCTCCCTGCCATGCTCCATCCCCTGCCCGGCTCTCTGCCATGCTCCATCCCCTGCCCGGCTCCCTGCCATGCTCCATCCCCTGCCCGGCTCCCTGCCATGCTCTATCCCCTGCCCGGCTCCCTGCGAGGCTCCAGCTCCTTTCCCTGCTGTTTTCCCTGCCGGGTGCCAGGAACAGCCACTCACCATGGTGAAGATCCCAGCCCCGAGCAGAGCGTAGATCGCGTGGAGCCACGGGACCTGAAGGACACAGGGACAGGGATACAGGGACAGGAACACAGGGACACACGGACACAGGAACATGTACAGGGACACAGAGACAGGGACACAGGGACAGGGACACAAGGACACATGGACACAGGGACACAGGGACAGGGACACATGGACACACGGACACAGGGACAGGGACACAGACATGGACACAAACAGGGACACATGGACACAGACACACAGACACAGGGACACATGGGCATGGACACATGGACACAGACACACGGACACAGATAGGGACACATGGGCATGGACACATGGACACAGACACATGGACATGGACAGGGACACAGGGACACATGGACAGGGACACACGAACACAGACAGGGACACACAGACAGGGACACACAGACACAGCTGTCAGAGCTGCACAGAATGGGCTGTGCAGGACTTCCCTCCCAAGGTACTTGGCTCCCGGGTGGAGGGGGAAAGTTGGGAAATGCCCCAAAACCCAGGCTGGATTTGTACCACTTCCAGCTTGTGCAGCTGTTTGGGAATGTTTCTGTGGCACAGAGCAGGGCACGGGGCCTCGGCTCCTGAACTTCTCCACCAGCTGCTCCTTATTGCAAACAGCACTTGGCCCCAGTACCTGTCCTGTGGAAGTCATGGCATCCTGGAATGGTTTGGGTGGGAAGGGACCTTAAAGCCCATCCAGTCCCACCCTTGCCATGGCAGGGACACCTCCCACTGTCCCAGGCTGCTCCAAGCCCTGTCCAGCCTGGCCTTGGACACTTCCAGGGGTGGGGAAGCCACAGGTCCCAGTCCCAGCACTCTCATGATGGAACACTCTGGAGCACCCCCAGAATAGATTTATTACCCAAACACAGCTGGTCCCACTGGAAGAAACACCAAATATTCCAAGAGCTGGAGCCAGCTTTAACTGGCCTGAGGGAACAGCTGGGTCTGTGTCAGGGGAGGTTTGGGATGGATATTGGGAAAAGGTTCTTCTTGCACTGGAACACCTCTCCCAGGGCTGCCAGAGCTCCAGGAGCAGTTGGGCAATGCCCAGGCACAAGGTGGGATTGTTGGGATGTCCTGGGCAGGGCCAGGAGTTGGACTGGCTGACCCTGGGTGTCCCTTCTCCCTTAGGACACACCATGATTCTAATTAAAGAACAATTTAAATATATTAATCCGTGGGAATCTCAGGGGAATTTCATCGGGACTGGGAGCAAAGCTCAGCCCCTGCTGTGGCCCAGAGGAACCAGGAGGAGGTTCTGGTTCAATCCCAGATGGGTTCAGTGAAGCCAGGGCTGTCCCTGCCTTTGGGCTCATTCCCACACTGTGGTTTTTATCTCACCACGTGTCAGGTGAGGAGGAGCTGTCTCTCTGGTTTCATGGCTGTGCTTTGGCACTGGGAGCTGCTCCAGCCTCACGTTCCCACTGGGAAGAGGAGAAGCTCAAGCCCAGACAGCCAAACTCCAACCCTTTGGAATGGCCAGGCTGGGTTTGTCCAGCACCAGCTCCAGGGCTGGGACCAGTGGGAACCTCCTGGAGGTCTCCCTTAGGGAATGACTTGGGGCAGAGGAGCTGGCTGGGATAGGGAGGGATTTGGGATCCCAGGAGCCTCTCAGGTGATTTATGGCACCTGCCTGGCCCCATCCCCCTTCCCTCATCCATGCCCGTGTCCCCGGGGCTGCCAGACCCTCTGGGGGTGACACCTGCCAGGATGAGACACCCTTGGATGCTGCCCAGCCCTGCTCCAGGCTGGCTGGAAGCTGCTCCAAGATTTCCTTGAGCACAGCTGGGGCCAGGAGTGGCTGCAGAGGCCAAAGGGGGTGGCTGGAGCTATGTGAGGGCTTGGCAGGCCCTGGGGACACACAGGGGGTCACTGTCCCCTGGGGACACACAGGGCGTCACTGTCCCTCAGGGACACACAGGGGGTCACTGTCCCTCGGGGACACACAGGGGGTCACTGTCCCTCAGGGACACACAGAGGGTCACTGTCCCCTGGGGACACACAGGGGTCACTGTCCTTCAGGAACACACAGGGGGTCACTGTCCCTAAGGGACAAACAGGGGTCACTGTCCCCTGGGGACACACAGGAGTCACTGTCCCTAAGGGACACACAGGGGTGTCACTGTCCCTCAGGGACACACAGGGGTGTCACTGTGCCCTGGGGACACACAGGGCGTCACTGTCCCTCAGGGACACACAGGGGGTCACTGTCTCTTGGGGACACACAGGGGTCACTGTCCCTCGGGGACACACAGGGGGTCACTGTCCCTAAGGGACACACAGGAGGTCACTGTCTCTTGGGGACACACAGGGGTCACTGTCCCTAAGGGACATACAGGGGGTCACTGTCCCCTGGGGACATACAGGGGTCACTGTGCCCTGGGGACACACAGGGGGTCACTGTCCCTAAGGGACACACAGGAGGTCACTGTCTCTTGGGGACACACAGGGGTCACTGTCCCTCGGGGACACACAGGGGGTCACTGTCCCCTGGGGACACACAGGGGGTCACTGTCCCTCGGGGACACACAGGGGGTCACTGTGCCCTGGGGACACACAGGGGGTCACTGTGCCCTTGGACTTGGCTCCTGAGGATCACTCAGACCTCAGGGTCATTGCTGAGAAACTGAGGCCTCAAGATTTGAACTCTGCAGGTGCTGGGTGTTAGTCCTGAGCCCAAGTCCTGCCCTGGACTTGGGACAGAGTTTAATGAGCTCATTTCCTTGGTTTTTCTGAGGGGAAACTGAGGCCTGAGCAGAGGCAGCTGTGCCCAGGTGAGACCCCATTGGCATCCAGGGGGGTCCCAACACAGGAAGAGCATGGATGAGTTGGAATGAGCTGCTCCGAGGGCTGGAGGCAGGCTGGGAGAGCTGGGGGTGCTCACCTGGAGAGGAGAAGGCTCCAGGGAGAGCTCAGAGCCCGTGCAGGGCCTGGAGGGGCTCCAGGAGAGCTGCAGAGGGACTGGGGACAAGGGACAGGGGGACAGGACACAGGGAATGGCTCCCACTGCAGGGGGCAGGGATGGATGGGAGATTGGGCAGGAATTCCTCCCTGGGAGGGTGGGCAGGCCCTGGGATGGATTTCCCAGAGCTGCCCCTGGATCCCTGGCAGTGCCCAGGCCAGGCTGGACAGGGCTGGAGCAGCCTGGGGCAGTGGGAGGTGTCCCTGCCATGGCAGGGGTGGGATTGTATGGGCTTTGAGGTCCCTCCTGACCAAAATAATTCCATGATTCCACCGCCAGGAACAGCAGGAAGCGTCCTCAGCCCTGGGCAGTTCCATCCTTGAGCCGTTCCCCACGGTCCATCCCAGGGAATGACCCTGCCCTTCCATCCCTCCATGGCGGTTCCCACCCATTTTCAGGGAGCTGGGCCCCCCCTCCCAGCACGCCCAGTTTGGCCCAGTTTGGGCCAGCTTTCACTCACGTATTGGTAGGGCAGGATGACAGCCAGGACCAGCCCCCCCAGGAACAGCACCATGAGCAGCACGAAGAGAATGCCCTGGTACGAGGTGAAGTCGAACTGCGGACGGGAAGGAGGAGTTTCTGTTCCAGGGCTGCTCTGGGGGAGCTGCAGCTCCCGAGCCCCACTGGGACTCACCCGGAGCTGGTTCTGCCTCTGCATCCCAGCAGCCAGCCCCTGGCACAGAGCCAATGCCTCCCAAACCCCCCTTAGTGCCACGGGAAGGGCTTGGGTCTCGCCACGCACCGGGAATCCCAAATCCATCACACACGAGCATCCTCCTGCATCCCACAGCCCAGCCCTCTGAAACTCCCAGTCTGCCACCATGTAGCCTCTTCCAGCCCCTCTGACATCCCTGACACATCCCAATCCTCCAAAAATCCCAGATTATTCCCACACCTCAGCAACTTCCAGTCCATGTACACCTATGGCACACCCCAACCCACAAAAAAAATCCCATTTTATTCCCATATATCAGCATCTTCTAGCCCCCACCCCAATCCACAAAAAAAATCTCATTTTATTCCCATATATCAGCATCTTCTAGCCCCCACCCCAATCCACAAAAAAAAATCTCATTTTATTCCCATATATCAACATCTTCTGACCCCCACACCAATCCACAAAAAAAAATCTCATTTTGTTCCCATGAATCAGCATCTTCTAGCCCCACTTACATCCCAGCCACATCCCTCCCTAGCACATATCCTGATCCACTCCAACCTCCTTGTGGCATCCCCACCTGCCTCAGGCTGCTCCTGTTTCCAGAGCCCTCCAGACACCCCCAGCTGCCCCCACTGTGCCCCAGGAGTGCCCCTTCCCGAGGGAGGCTCCCACAGTCCCACCTTGCTCTGGAAGCTGAAGATGGTGACAGACAGACAGACCAGGGCCGTGATCCCCAGGCACAGCAGCACCGACTTGGTGTTGTAGTAACTGCAGAATGACCAGGAAAAGCACATTGGGATCATTCCCACAGGGATGGGAAAGGGGATTCAGACAGGCAGGAGCTGGGCAAGGAATCCCACAGGCACAAACAGCGCTGGAATTATCAATATTCCACACTAGTGTTAGAAGAGGAAGGATAGAAAAAAGCTTGGATGGGTTTTCCTGCTGTTTTGAAGCACAGAGAGAAGGCAGGAGGGTCCATCTGGACCTCCCAGAGCTTCGGAGCAGCTCCAAGTCCACTGTCCATGGACAGACGGAATGGGGGAGATCCTGACGAGGAGGCAACAAAACCAGGATGACAAAAGGCACTGTAGCATGAGGAGAAACCAAAGGAGCAGCCCCTGGCTCCTGCCCTGTCTGGCTTTTGGAAAAGGGCAGGAAGGAGGGATTGGAGCGGCCACAGGGGCTGCAGACTCAGGCTGGAATGGTTTCCAGGCTGGATCAGGATTTTGGCTGCAGTGCCAGGCTCAGTCCTTGGGAAAGCCAGTCCTGCTCTCCCTGGGGGCATTGGTGTGGAGTCTCTGGAGTTTTCCCCCTGGAGCTGCTGAGGCTGCAGATTTCTTTGTCCCAATCCATCCATCAGCCACCCTGGATCGTGTCCCTCTCTCCAGGCTCCCACGTGAGCTAGGAGCAGATTTCCTGGTGCAAATGAGCGGAAGGGAACAGGCTGGGATACAAATTCCTGAAACTGCTGGAAAAAAATCCTTGGCTCACTGCAGCCCCACCTGCCTGGGACCTGCCCAGTGAGAAATGTGGGATCACTGAGTGGTCACCTCCTGCCCATCCAGGTGCTGCCCTGTCCTGGCCCTCCAGGGCTCTCCTGCAGGATTTGGGACGTGGGAATCCTGCAGTGCTGCCACACTTGGGACAGGGACAGGCCTTGGAAACCTTCCTTGGAAAGTTTTCACAGGGAAGCTCCAGCTTTGTGTGGCTGCTGGGAGCCCCAGGCAGCTCAGGTAGCTCAGGAATATGGAATGTTTTCAGGAAGAGACAGGACACAGGACTGTGCCCAACCCACCTGGAGAGCATGGCAGTGAGATAGGCCATGGACAGGGTCTGGGGGAAAACACAGCCTGGTTAGTGCCCTCATGCCCAGAGCAGACACCACAGGAAATCCCTCAATCCCAGAGAAAAGGGCAGGGAAGCCTCTCAGACTCTCAGGAGAAGGAACTTGGCAGCATTTGGACTGCTCCAGTGATTATGGGCACAGGAGAGGGCAGGGGGTGGGCAAACGGGACAGGAGCATCCCCTGCTCCTGCATCCCTCCCGCACAGGAGCCAGCTCCCATCCCAGTTCCAGCTCCCATCCCAATTCCAGCTCCCATCCCAGCTCCCAGCTCCCATCCCAATTCCAGCTCCCATCCCAGTTCCAGCTCCCATCCCAATTCCAGCTCCCATCCCAGATCCCATCCCAATTCCAGCTCCCATCCCACATCCCAGCTCCCATCCCACATCCCAGCTCCCATCCCACATTCCAGCTCCCATCCCAATTTCAGCTCCCATCCCACATTCCAGCTCCCATCCCAGCTCCCATCCCAGATCCCAGCTCCCATCCCACATCCCAGCTCCCATCCCACATCCCACCCCAGCTCAAATCCCAGTTCCCACCAGACTCCACAGATTATTTTTTGCAAATTTTTAACAAACAGAGGCTCCCTTTTTTCCCAGCTTCTCTCATTCCAGTGCAACCACAGCTCCTCAGGACAATAAGGGGATGAAATTCCCACTTTTCCCCAGGAATGCCAGCCTTGTCCTTGGAGCCACTCTGACCCCAGGCAGATGTTGTCCAGATGTGCTACTCACAAAGATGCTGAGCAGGATCAGATTCCATGGGAAGTATCTCCTGCAAAGGAAACAGGGGTCAATCATCCGGGGCTGTGCCAGGGAATCCCTGACCATGAGGGTAATTAGTGACTGTGAGGGTAATTAATGACCATCAATGACCGTGCTGGGTAATTAATGTCCATGCTGGTAATTAGCGCCCTGTGCACCAGTGCTGGGGCAGTGCAGGGCACAGTCACCCTGCTGGGAGCCACAGGGCATTTGGGGTCCTCTGGGGCCAGCAGGACAAAGGTCCCCAGGGTATTCCTGCTCCTCTGGGAGCTGACAAGAGATCTTCTGCAATGTTTCATTCCCAGGGCTGCAAACGGGGCAGTTCCTGCTGGGAAGTCACAGCTGCCACTGGACTCCCCCAGAGCAGCTGGGGCTGCCCCTGGATCCCTGGAAGTGCCCGAGGCCAGGCTGGATGGGACTTGGAGCAGCCTGGGACAGTGGGAGGCGTCCCTGCCATGGCAGGGGTGGCACTAGATGGGCTTTGAGGTCCTTTCCAACCCAAACCATTCCATGATCCCAAGGAAACACAGCAGCTGCATCCCTGCCCCATAACAGGGCTGGAAACCTGAGGAAAACATTCTTGCTGCCCTCCCCAGGCTGTCCCAGACCCCAAAGCATCCCCTTACCTGGGCCCGGAGCAGCAGGCGAGGATCAGGTAGGTGACGAAGAAAACGGCGCTGCAAGGAGAGAGGGAGAGCTCAGGGGGGAAAAGCAACTGGGAGGGTGGTGCAGGGGGGAATTCCCTGCGATGGAATTCCCTGGAAAAGCAGCCTGGGATGGTGGCACAGGGGAGAATGCCCTGCGATGGAATTCCCTGGAAAAGCAGCCTGGGATGGTGGTGCAGGAGGAATTCCCTGCGATGGAATTCCCTGGAAAAGCAGCCTGGGATGGTGGCACAGGGGAGAATTCCCTGCGATGGAATTCCCTGGAAAAGCATCCTGGGATGGTGGCACAGGGGGAATTCCCTGGGATGGGGATGTTGGAGATGCAAACACCCAGCAGGCGTGGAGCAGGGTGGTTCCCACCCCTGGTCCCTCTCACTAAGCCCCTTCCTGCCCTCAGGGGCCTGCTCTGCATGTTCCTGTCCCCAGGGTGGGACAAAACATCCCTGGAGAAGCTGAGTTTGGAGCTGGGTTTGGAGCAGAGCCAAGGTCGGGTTCAGACCCCAGGGTGCACCCAAATGTGTTAATGACAAACAGGGCAGGATCTGGGTTTGTGCTGGCTCTTAGGAAACGTTCCTTCATGGAAAGGGAGGTCAGGCATTGGAAGGGGCTGCCCAGGCAGTGGTGGAATCCCATCCTTGGAAGTGTCCAAAAGCCTGTGGAAGTGGCACTGGGGACATGGGCAGCGGGGAGGGGAGGGTTGGTGGTTGGACTTGATGGTCTCCGAGGGCTTTTCCCACCTTCATGATTCCAGGATTCCATGGTTCTGTGAGTTTCTCACAGGAGGTGCCAGGCTTTGCCCCTCGTTTCCAAACCCTTTCTGGCTTGGGGGTGTCAAGGCTGGAGGTTCTTAGACCAAGAGCTAGCAAAGTGACCAGGTTGGAAGGGCTGTGCTGGAGGAGAAGCTGCTCCCATGGTACATCCCTCCAGAAATGGGAATTTCTGGACTTTCCACCCCTGGAAGTGTCCCAGGCCAGGCTGGACAGGGATTGGAGAAAGCTGGGACAGTGGAAGGTGTCCCTGCCCATGGCAGGGTTGGCACTGGATGGACTTGAAGGTCCCTCCAACCCAATCCACTCCAGGATTCCACTGCTGGAGTGCTTGAGGAAGAGCCCAGGGCAGGGAAGGGCTCAGGGCAGGAGGAGCTGCTCAGGGAAGGGCTCAGGGCAGGAGAATCCATTCAGAAAAGGGCTCAGGGACAAGCTCAGGGCAGGAGGATCCATTCAGAAAAGGGCTCAGGGCTGAGGATCCATTCAGAAAAGGGCTCGGGGACAAGCCCAGGGCTGAGGATCCATTCAGAAAAGGGCTCAGGGACAAGCCCTGGGCTGAGGATCCATTCAGAAAAGGGCTCAGGGACAAGCCCAGGGCTGGAGGATCCTCCCAGCTCAGCAGAGCCCAAGGTGCCGTGGCTGCCCAGCCCCTCCCAGGTGCTGGCAGGTTTTACCTCCCAGCATTTGACCCTCTCGAAGCACAGCAGCCCCAGAGCCGAAGGAGGCTCTCCTGCCCGCAGCTGGGTGTTTTTCCAGGCTCGGGAAGCTGCTCCCCTGCTCTCCCCGGGGCAGCAGTTCCGGGCGTGCCGATGGCTCCCGATAGCCACTGACCCTCGGCCACGGCAGGCAGGTGAGGGCAGAGCCCAGGGCCACGAGACCCAGGGCACAGAGATAAACCCGGGCCCAGCTCTCCCACTGGGAAACCAGGAAAGCCAGCCTGGACACGGCTGAGCAGCTGGGAGGAGACTGTCAGGAGCACAGAGCCAGCAGGGCAATCCATCCCCTGTCTGCTCTGGATTTATTGCCACTGAGGTGCCATCCCAGCAGTGGGAAAACATCCTGGGGTTCCCAGGTTTATTTTACAGAGGTCTCTGGTTGGGAAGGAGACCCAGGCAAAGAGCAGGAAAAACATTTGGAGACATTGGAATGAAGGGAAGGGCTTGGCTCACTGAGCAGCAAAAAACCAGACAAAATTAAAGATATGGAATGGCCTAGATGGGAAGGGACCTTAAAATCCAGCCCATCCCACCCCTGCCATGGCAGGGACACCTCCCACTGCCCCAGGCTGCTCCAGCCCTGTCCAGCCTGGCCTGGGCACTGCCAGGGATCCAGGGGCAGCTCTGGGAAATCCATCCCAGGGCCTGCCCACCCTCCCAGGGAGGAATTCCTGCCCAATCTCCCATCCATCCCTGCCCCCTGCAGTGGGAGCCATTCCCTGGCTCCTGTCCCCCTGTCCCTTGTCCCCAGTCCCTCTGCAGCTCTCCTGGAGCCCCTCCAGGCCCTGCACGGGCTCTGAGCTCTCCCTGCAGTGGGGTGAGCACCCCCAGCTCTCCCAGCCTGGCTCCAGAGGGGCTCCAGCCCTGAGCAGCTCCGTGGCCTCCTCTGGGCTCTCTCCAGCAGCTCCTCATCCTCCCTGTGCGGGACCCCCGGGCTGGGGCAGCTCTGCAGGTGGGGTCTCACCTGGGCACAGGGGGACAATGACCAGGGGGAAATTCCTCCAGGACAGAACACCCCAGCTGCCCCAAGGGTGTTCCTGCTGGGAAAGGGAGGGAATAAACTCCATCTGGGCAGGGAGCTGGAAGAGTGACCCCAGAGGCCAAGGTGGGGACCTGAGCAGGGCTGAGCCTCCTCTCCCTTGTCCCCTGGGAGGTGACACTGCCTCTCCAAGCCCAGCTGCCCTCTGGAGCACCTCTGGTTCCCTGCTGGTGGCCTGGAGCTCCCATTGCTGCTGTTCCGAGGGCTCTCCCAGGTTACATAAGCCGGTGTCTCATCCCCTGATTTGGGTGTGAACTGATTAAAGCTGAGTTCACCTCACACTCAGTGAGCAGCACTGACCCCACCAGCAGCCCAGAAACCACGGAGCCAGGAGATACCAGCATGGGGAAGCTCCGTTCTGGGCCGGCTGGGGGAACCAAGGAATGGAATCCCAACTTTGGGGCTCTGGGATGGAGCCCCAGGAGAGACAGTTCTACTCAGACATGGCCAGGAACATCCCAACACCTCCAAATCCACCCCCATATCCCCTGGATATTATGTAATGCAAATCCCAACAACCACCTGGCTTCCAAGGGGAAAATCCCAAAATTCAGCCTCCATGGTGCCCTGAACATCCTTCCAGGTGTCAGATATGGAGCTCTGCAGTGTTTTCCTGAATGCTCTGCAAGGAGGCCTTTGGAGCTTCCCAGGGGACCTTCCCAAAATCAACCCCCTAAGGTACCCTGGACATCCTTCCAGGTCTCATTAGGAGCTCCTGTTTCCCTGGAAACTCCCCAGTTTTCCCTGGCTTTCTGCAGGAAATAGGTATTTATTTCGACCCTGGTTTTTAGAGCCATTTTTGGGGAAGTGTTTCGAGTTCTCCTCTCTGGTGTCTCTTGCTCATTCAGGTGCGATTTCCCATCTGCTCACCTCAGGCTCACCCATGGCTTGGTGCCCAGAGCAGCTGGGGCAGTGCCCAAGGTTGGGCACTGGGGCTTGGAGCAGCCTGAGATGGTGAGAGGTGTCCCTGCCATGGTGAGCTTTAAGGTCCCTCCCAACCCAGCCCATTCCATGATTCCATGACCTTCCCAGTTGCCCCTGGACTCTCTGGAGTGATGCTTCGCATGCAGGACAGGGAAGTGTTTGGGGAGTGTTGGAGACCCTTCCCACATCCCCACAGCCCCAGCCAGGCTGTCTGGAGCGCACAAGGCCTAGGAAAAGCCAGGGATACTCACTAGGAAGCCCAGTACCAGGCAGAGTGGGTCTGGATGTAGCCCTTGACTGGTTCACTGCAAGACAGAAGGAAAAGATCCTGAGCAGGAAGAAGCCAGTCCCTCACAGCTCCCTGCTCAATGAACCCAGGAACAGCCCTAGCACGGGATTAAAAACCCAGCCCTGGGTGAATCCTGAGCCTGTGGAGAGGAATTCCAGCTGCCAGGTGGGAAGGGCAGTGCTGCTCCCCCAGTTCCACAGCGGAGCTGGCTGGGAATGGCTCCCACAGGGGATTAGGGAGCCCAAATCCTCAGGCTGGCAGTGATCCATTATTTATTCTGGAGGCAACATGAGCCACACACACCCAGAGCGCTCGGTCATCCGAGCTGGACAGGGGGATGAGCAGGGGAGGGAAAGCAGCCCCTGGAGCTGGGATCTGGTAACTCCCACTGGGAAAATCCAGCAGTCACTGCCAAGGGCAGCAGCCCTGGGGATCACTCAGGATGGAAGATCCAATCCTGAGCGTGGTTGGGAATGGGAGCAAAAGGACTGAGGGACCTCTGAGTGTTCCCTCAGCTTTGCTTTTCTATTGGAATACTCAGAAAGAATCCAGGTGTGACACAGCCCCCAGGAAGCTGCCCAGGGCCCGCTCCCAGGTGGCTCAGGACACACCCAGCACCCACCAGAAGGTGAAGAAAGCCACGATGACAACGGTGACCAGGAGCTGGACCATGAGGATGGCGTAAACCTGCAGGGAGAGGTGATCCATGGATCCCAGAATCCAGCAGAGCCGGGCCCTCCAGGGGCTGGGGGTCCAGCTCTGCCAGCCCAGAGCGCGAGGGACGTGTCCCTCCCTCACCTTCCTGATGAACACCCTGCGCACGTTGCGGTCGTCCCAGCTGAAGGTGGTGAGCAGCTCCGTGTCCCCCGGGTACCCCCCGCTGCCGTAGCTCGGGCTGCTGCCTGCAGAGAGGCCAAAGGAGCTGCTCCAGCTCCCACCCCAATTCCCCCCCAGCTGTGGGACCTGACCCCAGGGAGCCACCACGGCTCAGGTGCCCCAAATTCCCACATGTTCCTTGTGGCATTCACACCTCTGAAAAAATCCCTTCGCCCAGGATTTTTCTCCTGGGAAGCTGAGAAGCCTCAGTGAGAAGGAAAGCAATTCTTATCTCATTTGCTTCTCCTGTGTTCTGCTCATGTGGAATGTGTTTGGAGGTTGTTCACCCACAGGTGATTGTTTCATGGATTCTGCTGTGAATTGAGTCTTTGGCCAGTTGGGGCCAAGCTGTGTCAGGACTCTGGAAAGAGTCACGAGTTTCATTATTATCTTTTTAGCGTTCAGTAAGTATCCCTTCTTTACTATAGTTTAGTATTCTTTAATATAATACAACATCGTAAAGTAATAAATTAGCCTTCTGAGAACATGGAGTCAGATGCATCGTTCCTGCCCTAGCTGGGACACTTCCCAGCAAATACAACAGTTCCTCTGCTCCCTTCCCACTCCTGCTGCTCCTTAGGACCATCCCTGGGAACAGAGGGGAAACGTTCCCACAAACCATCCCAACACCAGGCTGGATCCTTGTCTGAGGAAACACCAAACCCTCCACAGCAATGGGAGGGCTGGGATCATCCCTTGCTCTCCTTTCACTGGATGTTAAACATCCCCAGAGCAGCTGTGACTCAGCATTCCCTGCGGAGCAGGAGGATTCCCTCGCTGCTCTCCTGAGCTGTGTTTGCATCGTGGCTTTGTCAACAACCTCCCTGCTCCAAGAGCAGCTCCTGGCAGCTCCCTGAGCTCCATCCCTCAACCCCATTTCCATGCAGGGACTCAGGGAACAGTTAAGCACCGAGCCTGAAAAAGGAGGAAACAGCTCCAATGCTACCAGTGAGAAAAACCTTCCCCCAAATCCTCAAATCCCTGCACAAGTCATCTCTGCTTTGCCAAAACAAGAACAGAAGCTCCTGTTGCTGGTTTTCCTTACCCCATCCCTGGAATGTCCCAGGCCAGGCTGGATGGGGCTGGGAGCAGCCTGGGGCAGTGGCAGTGTCCCTGCCATGGCAGGGGTGGCACTGGATGGGCTGTGAGGGCCCACCCATCCAAACCAATCCATGACTCCATGATCCTGTGCCCTCTGTGCTTCCCTTGGTGATGTCCCCTCCTGTGTCACTGAAGTCACTGCTGGGTTTCCACTGAAGGATTTTTGTGTGATTTTCTGCTTTACATTCCTGTTCCTGCCTGGTCCACAGACACCTCCCCTCCTCCTGAGGCTTCTGAGCTCAGGGATACCCAAATCCTTCAGGAAGGTGGAGCAAAGATCCTCTTAATCTCAGAGCAGACGCCAGGAGAGCCAAACTCAAGGTCCTGATCCTGATTTTCTCCTGTTTTCCTGGTCAAAAGTTACTCATTCAAAATGCAGGAGCCTCACTTAGGTGACCCTAGCAGCAAATAAGTCCCTGGTGCTGTTCTGTTGCCAATAAATCCCTTGGTCCTTCCTTCCTGCCCCACTGGAGCTGAACCTCCTGCGTGTTCTCCTGGATCCCCCATGGGGCCCAGAGTGCCTGGGGCAGGGAGAATCCCTGGGACACTTCCAGGCCTCCTGCACCAAAGCAATCCCAGCCCACAAACACCCAGCTGGCCTCTAAACACCCAACTGACCCCTAAACACCAAATTAGCCCCCAAACACCAACTGGCCCCTAAACACCAAACTGGCCCCTAAACATCAAACTGGCCCCTAAACACCAAACTGGCTCCTAAACACCAAATTAGCCCCTAAACACCCAGCTGGCCCCTAAACACCAACTGGCCCCTAAACACCAAATTGTCCTCTAAACACCCAGCTGGCACCTCAGTGCCCCCAGGAACTGAAGGGTTTTACCCTCCTCCCTCCCTGCCAGCATCCAGAGGGTTTCATTCTCCTCCCTCCTGGTGTCCCCACATCTGTCCCCCCACCCAAGGCCACAGCAGGACAGTGTGTCCTGAGTTCACGGTCACAGAAACAACCCCAAATCCACACCCCTTCTCTCCAGGTGCTCCCACTCAGGTGTGAGACATCCCATAGAATGGGTTTCCCACCTGGAGCCCCAAAACACCCCATCCCACCCCCTAAACCCCAAACAGCCCATCTCACCCCCTTTAGGCCTCACCCCCAATAATTCATGGTGACAGCAGAAAAATCCAGATGATCCCCAGAGGCACCTGGGGGGATTTATCCTGTTCCTTAGGGGAAAGACTGAGAAACCATCAGAATATGCCAGCACAGACAGCAGGGGAGGTTTTCACTCCTTCCCCTTCCCCAGGTATCCCATCCCTGCAGCTGGACAGAACAGGCAGCAAAGGATGGAGCAGGGCAAGAGCTCAGGAGCCCCAAAATCCCATAATCCCAGCATTTTCTCTGGCTGGAACTGTGCTGAGTGAGCACTTAGCCACCCCCAGGGTCACTTCCCAGGCACCACCCCCAGCTGCAAGCCTGCAGCCATTCCCTGGGCACAGCCAGGTCTTCGTCCTTTGCTATGGCCCAGCAGGAGCTCCAGGGAGCTTCTGTGTTGGAAAAACTGCTGGTTTGCCCAGGAATGGCCACAAGGATGCTGGAACAATCCAGCCTTTGGCTCCAGCCATGTCCCAGCCTCCCTGGCTCTGGCAGCAGCCACACTCAGGGCTGTGACACCTCTTGTGACACCAATTGTGCCACCTCAGCTGCTCTGAGAGCTGGGGCTGAGCAGGAGCTGCAGGAGGGGGTGGGGGGATCCCTGCAGCTGCTCCAGGACTTTTCCTCCAGCCCTGGGAGCTGGGAATGGGGATTTCTCCCACCATGGGACAGGGAAGGAGTTTACCCCCTCGTCTGGAAGGGGGTGAGCTCTCTGGGATGGCTGGAATGGCTTTTATTCACAGATACAGACTTTTATCTGCAGATGGAGATTTTATGTGCAGATGGAAACTTTTACACATTGATAGAGACTCTCCTGTGCAGACAGAGGCTCACAGCTCTACCCTGGGCCAAACTGGGCACCACATCCCTGGTTCCTCTCTTATCCCTGCTCCCCCTCTTATCCCTGCTCTCCCTCTTATCCCAGCTCCCCCTCTCCTCTCCCCTCCATCCCGGGGGGATCTCTGCCCCCTCTCCCAGGCTCACCCAGCCCAGCCATGGAAGGACTTACTGGGATCCACGTAAGCCCAGCTAGGGTGGAGCGGGGCCGCGGGCGGGGCAGGAAAAGCCCCGGATTTCATCCCTTCTCCCGCTGTCGCCTCCTCGTAGGACGGGGGAGCCGGGGGGGCTGTGGCATTGTCCTTCTTGTCCCCCTGCCCCTCAGAGCTGGGGGGTTTGTTGTTCACAGAGAGCTGCACAGAAAGGGGCAAAGAGAGAGAGAGCTGAGTGAAAGCATCCCAGAAACCGCCCTGGACGAGAAGCTGGCACGGACAGGTTCTGGAGAAGGGGTCAGGAACTGGGAGATGCAGGAACTGAACTGGGAGCCCCCCAGCCATTCCTGGGGGCTGGGCACGGGCCCATCCCTGCACCTCGGGAAGGGTGTTCATAACTCGGGGGAGATGGGAAAGCCCTGGAAGTGCTCATTGGGATGAGAAGTTCCAGGCAGGGAGGTCTGAGGGGAGACCCGGAGCCCCCGCGGTGCCTCGGGCTCAATGTGACACCAAAAACATCCAAGGAATTCTCTGCTTCTCATCAAACTTCCTACATTGCTCCTTAAAAAGAGCTTTCAGTTCCTGGGCAGGAAATCCTGAACTCTTCATTCCCATTTAGCCCATTTTGGGTCAGCTGCTCCCAGGAATGCTCTGGTTTGGCCCTCCAGAATTTTCTCCTCGGTGCCCGTGAGGAGGCTCAGCTCTGCTGCTTCCCCGCATTCCAAGGACGTGGGACTGCAGCAAGGAGCCAGCCTGGGGCCACCTGAGCACTCTCCTTGGGAACATGATCCCTTTAACCTGCCGGCTGGGCCTGGGGTAGATAAGTGCCTGGATAAACTCTGCTGCCCGCGGAGGAGCCAGCTCGGCCCCGGGAGCGGCGTCCCCACAGCTCGGGGGGCTGCAGTGGCAACGAGCCCCAAAACCAGGGAGCATTAACAGAGCAGAGTGAGCAGGGCTGAAGGGGCCAGGGCCCTGAAAACAGCAGGGGTCGAGCTGAGATGAGTCCCACGGGCAGATCCAGCTGTGCCAGCCCCCCTGCCAGCCCCTAGGGTCTGTCCTTCCCTGTCCTTCCCTGTCCCTTGGGTTTAGGGGGCCGAGATCCTGCAAGCCCCCTCCCCACCCCCCCGGATATCCAAGGAGATCCAGAGGGATGGAGCTGCATCCAGAGCGTTGCCATGGCAATGGTGCATGAGCTGGCAGAGGATCCACAACCCCCCCTCCTCGGTCTGAGAGCATTGGAGAACCCCAAAATCCCCCAAATCCCCAAAATCCAGAGCCCCCGGGCCGGGCAGGAGCTGCCAGGTGGGGACAGGGTGGAACAGCACAATCAGCTCACAGAGTCCCCCGACACCTGCAATTTGGGGGGCGCAGGGGGGTAAAGCGGCCACAGGTCCGGTCCAACAGGGTCTGAGCTGTGCATCCATCACCCCTAAACCAGCCCGATCCCAAAACCAACCCCAAACCAGCCTCCACTCCCAAAATCATCCCTAAATCAGCCCCCAACCCCAAAACCAGCCCCCCAGCCCCTTCCAGCCCCCAGCCCCTCCGCCCCCACGGCAGGTTCCGTGCAGGGTACCCAGCTCCCCTTCCACCCATCGTTCTGCTCCTAAATCCCTTCCCTGCGCCGCTCTTCCCCTCCGAACGCGCCGTTATGCAACAGGGACGGGCTCATCCTGCTCGCTCCGGCCTCCCTCACCTTCCCCTGGGTCATGGCTGCTGCTGCCCCCGGATCGGGACCGAGCTGGGCGCGGGGTCCCTTCCAGCCCTTCTCCCGGGCGGTGTGGGGCTGGATGCGGCTCCCGCAGCCCCCGCAGCCGCTGCCTTCAGCTTCCAGCAGCGTCCCTGGAGCTGCGGGCTCTGCAGGCAGGGCTGTACCACTGCCAGCCCGCGGCACAGGGGAGCCGGGAGAGCAGCGAGGGATGGGGGGGGAGAGAGGGTCGGCTGGGGAGAGGGTCCAGATGGAGAGAGGGTCGGGATGGGGGCGATGGAGAGAGGGTCGAGATGAGAGGGATGGGGAGAGGGTCTGGCTGAGGAAGAGGATTGGGATGGGGAGAGGGTCAGGATGGGGCAATGGAGAGGGGGTCAGGATGGGGAGACGGAGAGAGGGTCAGGATGGAGAGAGGGTCGGGATGGGGGGGCAGAGAGAGGGTCGGGATGGGGGGAATGGGGAGAGGATCAGGATGGAGAGGAGATAGAGAAAGGGCTGGGATGGAGAGAGGGTTGGGATAGAGAGAGGGTCGGGGTGGGGGGAAATGGAGAAAGGGTCGGGATGGGGGCGATGGAGAGAGGGTCGGGACGAGGGGATGCGGGGATGGGCTTAGGGATGGAGAGGATACAGGGCTGGGGTGATGAGGAGGATGCAGGGATGGGATGGGATGGGATGGGATGGGATGGGATGGGATGGGATGGGATGCAGGGTTAGGGAGGATGCAGGGATGGGATGGGGAGGATGGACAGACACGGCACCCAGGAGCGTGAAGGGTTGGGGTCAGGAATGGGGAGGGTGCACAGATGGGGAGGATGTGGGGATTCAGGGAAAGGGATAACCCAGGGTTAAGGAGGATGTGGAGATCCAGGAACAGAGATGATCCAGGGTTAGGGAGGATGTGGGGATCCAGGAACAGGGATGATCCAAGGTTAGGGAGAATGTGGGTTTTCAGGGAAAGGGATAACCCAGGGTTAGGAGGATGTGGGGATCCAGGAACAGGGATGATCCAGGATTAGGGAGGATGCAGGGATAGGGTCCCACTCCAGGGCTGGGAAGCAGCTGCCCCAGAGCTGCTGAACCTCGGGACTGGGATTTGCAAAGTGAGGGAGGCTCTGAGGAGCCTTTGCTGCTGCCTCAGAGCCAGCCGTGGGAGCAGCTCCCAAATATCCTGGGGGTGCTGTGGGGGCTGGAGGCTCCAGTGGGACAAGAGGGAACAGCCTGAGCCGGGCTCGGACAGAGGGCAGGAGGGAGCAATCCCACATGGACGGCTCCTGGGTCCCACCCTTGTCCCCTCGGGGCCGCTGCAGCCCCAGGGGGCACAGGGAGGGTCTGCAGCAGCCCCATCCCCACAGCAGATTATTGATCAGCGTTATTGATCCAAGCCCATGGGCAGGGGGAAAATGGGGATCCCCCAGCCCGGGGGAAGGGGCATTGAGGGAATCGGGGTTTTCACTGCTCTGACAGAGCCTGGGTGGGGGAAATACAACCTCAGGGTACAGGGAGATGGGGACATCTGCTCTTGCGCCACAGGCAGTAGGACGTGGGGGAAAATTGTCCCTTTTGAAGGGTGAAGGGGCTCCCATGGGCCCAGGACAGAGGAAGGAACAGTGGAAACACAGCCCAGGCTCCACCTGGAGCCCAGAGAGGGGCTGGAGAGGAATGGGAGCTCTCAGCAGAGCAGCCGCGCTCTCTGTTCCCCCTAAATGAGACAATTTGGAGCTGAGACCCTCCATCCCCCCTCCCGTCCCTCCCCAGCCCCTTCCAGTCACTCCTGAGTTTGCCAGGTCGATAACAGAGGTACAAACAATAAATCAGCTGTTCTGAGCACTCTGCCGGGGAAAAAACCAAAACGTGACGAACTGCAGGCTCCCCCGACCCAGCGCACAGAAGGTGAGGAATCTATGCAGGGAAACGGGGTGGAAAAACCATCCCCGTTCCTGGATTCTGCGGAGAAGCCGGGAAAGGAAGGGTTAAAAGGAAAGCACGAGCTGGAAGGGCAGGAATGCAGCCAAGCAAAGCAGCGCTGGCATCCACACGGACCCAGCCCGAGCCATTCAGTTGGAAAGGGGCGATTCCGCAGGACCTGTCAGGATTATTCCGAATCAATTAAGGGCCACTTAACCTGCGGCTCCTCAAGGGCTTCATTCTCCTGGGGCTGGGCCGGGGCTGAGAGACCTGGGCAGGTCCCAAGGGAGGGAGAGAAACTGAGCCCGGATTCCGGCTGCTCTGCGAGGGTGAGGATGGACAAACAGCCAAGAACAAGGATGGATAAACAACCACGGATAAATTACTGAGCACGAGGACGGGTAAAGAACCTCCAACACACTCAGGTGTGAGCCCCTCCAGGCAGGGGCCCGGCCAAGGGCTTGGGGCAGGAGCTCTGGGTGCTTTGTGAGCCCAATTCCTCAGGAAGCCCCAGGGCTCTGCTGCCCAGCCAAGCCAGGTTCCTTGGAGCCCTAACTCCCTCCTGGGCTAGAAAGGCTCAAAGAGGTGAAACGTTCTGGGGGAGGAAAAACTCCCAGCAAAGCATCAACCCCAGCAGAGCATCAACCCCAGCAGCTCCTCCTGGATAAAAACAGCAGGGAAGAGACTCCAACCCCTGCCCTGCTCTGTTCAGGGAACATCCTCATTGACCCCCAGGATCATCCAGTCCAACCCCTGGCCCTGCACGGACACCCCAAAATCCCACCCTGTGCCCGAGAGCGGTGTCCAAAGGCTCCAGGAGCTCTGGCAGCCTTGGGGCCATGACCAATCCCTGGGGAGCCTGTTCAGCACCCCAGCACCCTCTGGGGGAAGAACCTTGTCCTGATCTCCAGCCTGATCCCCCTGGCCCAGCTCCAGGTGTCCAAGGTCCATCCCCACCCAGGGGATCTTGGTCTCCTCTCCTGGCCCAGCCTGGCACCAATCCAGGCACCACCCCCGTGGGGCTCTGGGGAGCCACCACGTCCTTCCTGAGCCAGGAAAAGCATCTGGGAGAGCCCTCAGGGCTCTGCTTGGTCCTGGAGAAGACGAGGATGACTCTGCCCAGCCCACAGTGATGGAGAGCAGATCCCTTGGGCTTGCAGGGACCATCCCTTCCCCCAGACCCCTGCCCCAAGCCTGGATCCTTGTTCTCCTGTTTGAGCTGGCAGCTCCCAATGTGCCAGAGTCCTCCCAAGGTGTTAATTGTCCCCAGGGCCTGTCCCACAGGGAGAGGAGCCCAGGTGCAGGTGCCTGGCATGCCCATCCAGCTCCAGACATTGCCCTCCTCACTCTTCCCTTTAACACTCAGGCTGAGAAATAATGGCAATAAAAAATCTCTGTCCAGGCCACACCCAGCCAAATCCACCAGGGATTTTCCAGGATTAAAACAACTTTGCTGAACACTCAATCACATCAAAAACAAAGGAAAGGGAACCTGATGGGATAATTAAGGGATTTGCTGGGCCAACATCCACAGTGGCACACCCAGAAGCCCTCGGTAAATACTCTCTCCCCCATCCCAAGAGGGAAAAAAAACCCCTGGCAGTGAAAGCTGTGCTGTGGGCTTCAAAATAAAACATTTAAAATTCAGGAATTTACCCCAGGCCGCTGAATTATCTGTGGATTATTAATGCTAAACCTCCGGTCCCTGGGTGGGGGATTAACATGCAGGCTGGGAACATCAGGGAACGCACGGAGAGGGGTTTGGAGAATAAAAGAAATGAAAACCTCCTTGTCCTTGAGGGGCAGAGCCCTGCCAACATCCCAGGAAGGTCCCCAGGCCTGTCAGCCTTGGAGCTTCATCTCCATGGGAGATGGAAACCTGGACAGGACAAGGGAGAAAGGTTTTAGACTAAACCAGGAAAGATTTAGAGGGGATGTGAGGAAGGGATTCCTTCCTGGGAGGGTGGGGAGGCCCTGGAATGGATTTTCCAGAGGATGCCCCATCCCTGGAAGTGTCCAAGGCCAGGTTGGAGGAGCTTGGAGCAGCCTGGGACAGTGGAAGTTGTCCCTGCCCTGGGACTGGGTGGGCTTGAAGGTCCCTTCCCACCCAACCATTCCATGATTCCCAGCCAGCTCCTGCCTCTTGACTCCCACCCAGCCCCCTCCAGCTGAAATTCCTCCCCAGGATGTTCCTGAAGGATGGGACAACACCCCATAAACACGTGGGAGCAGGAGCTGGATGAGCCTGGACGCTTTGGGATGGGAATGTTCTCTGGGGTTTCTGCACTCAGGCCTGGAGAGTGCCTGAGCTGACCCCAAACCCCCTTCCAGCACCCCCTTCATGCCTCCAGTTTTCCATTGCCTGGAGGGAGATCCCACAAACTGAGCTGTCCCCCTGATCCAGGGCTCTCAGGGAACATTAATTATAACCCTGAGCAGCCGCTTTAATTAACGAGGGCTTGGCCTGCCCTGGTGGGCAGCTCCCGCGAGGAGCAGCAGCTGAGGAAGCTCCTGCTTCATCCCTGCCTGGGGACCAAGGCAACGGCAGGATTGGGGTGTTTGGAGAAATTTGGGGCTGGTTTATTTCTCTGAACACCTGCAGAGCTGTGGTGTGAGATTTCCACGGATCACAGGGGATGGTGTTGAGAGGAATGAGGGATTTGTCTTTCCAAACCAGCTCTGGGTCTGCTGGGGGATAAAACCAGCACTGGGAGATAAAATAAACATGGGAAGGATTCTACTGATTGATGAATGGAAGACAGTGTGGACACGAAGGAACAAACGGAAGCGAGATCCGCGCTCCCACGTCAGAGCAGCAGCTCTGTGTGCTCCCGGGCCCGAGCAAACACTGCAATCCAGGCTCTGCCCAGGACTGAATTGTGCAGCTCTCAGGCCTTGGCAGCGCTCCCTGCCCGCTGCCAGCAGAGCCTGTCCTGCCCCCGGGTGCAGCCGGGCTGCTGGAGGGCAGGAATTGCTCAAGAGCTCCCGGTCCTGGCTGGGAGGGGGAGCAGAACAGGTTTGGGGACACTGGCAGCGCCACCTCCGCGCCGCCGAGCAGTTCCTGCTCCGAGCTGCTTGCAGGGATTTTATATAACACAGCCCAGGGTGCCCACGGCGTCTCTGGCTCTGCTGCTGGCCAGGATCACTGTGCTGGTGGCATCACTGCATCCTGCCAGCACAGCAC